CCCTCGCAGGAAGAAATTTCTCCTGACATAAACAGAGGGCCCACATGTCGGAGTCGGGAAAACACAGGTCTCTCTCCGGTAGCGACAAGTGGAGTGCCGGCGGTGTATTGACCTGACCGTGGCGGTGCAGGCACCTTTAGCACCAGCGCTGCGCCCAGCAAGGGCGTCGGATTACGGCGGTAGAAGCGTCTGTGTGTTCCGCGGAAATTCCACGCGCGTTCGGCGGTCCCCCGTCGTGGAAAATATGCACTTGGCTGGCGCAGATGATTGAGTATCCCGTCAGATATCTTGTCAGGATGCGCTTGGGCCGGACGCCTGGTTCGTTAATAGTGATGTATATAGATGTCGTATTGATGTAGAATTTCCCCCGAGTAACTAGCGTTTGTCTTCCGCTTCTTTTACCCATTGGCTGACACTCAGGCTGAGCACGTACAGAGAGATGCCTGCAATCAGATGCGTCACACTCCTAATGATGGCCCTTTGAAGCTACGGGTACTTCCATTCCCTATCAATAGAGCTTGATTGGCTCAAATTATTTCTAAAGATACACACACAGAAAATGAACCAACGAGCAGGAAAGAATGCAACGTGGTGTCTCGTCTTCTAAAACGATAAGTCAGAACATTGACAGAAACAAGAAAGTCAAGTGGAATGAGGAAAATGTGAGACTGACGCTAAATCAAAAGGGAAGATGGGTGTATCTTAAATTATGACGAGAAAGTTTGCTGCGTGATGATGACACTAATATGGCATATTGCCAGGTGAGCCCAACGGGCTTTATAATCCTGATCACCATAAAATTTCACGCCACAGTCGCATTTCACGCGTTTGAACTAGCACCTGAAAATGAGACTCATACCACCGTAAATCAACAGTAAACATGGAGAGAAATGCACCCATCCGCCCACCCATGACGAAAATGGGTCTCAACCACCACTCATAATCTATGTATAATGAGCGGGGGGCATGAAGTGCTATGATAACAGTAGGAACTTCTAACATATTATAACTAGGCTATGTGCTGGCCTTGAAAGACATGTACTCTTAAATTAGCATACCTCTAGCTCTCTCCTCCACTTCGTTTAAATAGAATCCGAAGGAGGGGGTGTGGGAGTAAGTTCTGTCCAGCACGACTCTGGCAGTCTGTTCTGCCGCCAGCTTCTGTCGGATGGCCTGCATGCGGTAGTAGCAGACGTCGCGTCGCTGTCGCTGTCCCGCCGGGGTAGACCAGGGCAACCCGCGTCGAGTTGAAGCCTAGTTCCACCAGCAGACTGCCGACCACGTCTGCTAGCTTGTTGTCCGTGTGTTCCATCCTGGTGACCGTCTGTACTCCCCGAAGTCGCTGTGACGGAAGCCCGAGGCGGGAGCCCCGGCCGTCAGGACCGGGACGTCCCAGTGACTAGCCAGGCGACTTACCTCAGTGTCACGTAGAGACAGGTGGGCCCGATGATGACGTTTGGTTTCAACGAGTCCTCGTAGTACGTATCCAACAGCTCGGTTAGAGCGATGTAGTAGCTACACGCTGAGTCAAAAGTATCGATGTGGAAAGTGTTGTCGCCCAACACTCCATTCTCTTGTAACTCTTCAATCGCGAAGGCGACCGTCGGCTCTATCTGGTCCAGAACGTAAGGCGCCAGGCTCTGGGTTCGCCAAGGGTACGTCGCCTGCCCAGGCTGAACAATAAGAACCGTGAAGTTCTCGGCTTGCGCCTTGCAGCACCACAAAAGTACTGCGAGGGTTCCCAAGAACAGTTTGGCCGCCATTATGTACCCAGGAGGGCTACAAGTACCTCTGGGACATTTCCATCTCCTTTGGCCAATAACGGTCAATTATTAACAAGCTTTATATATTGACAACAACCCGCACAGACAAAGGGGAGCTATATATCGATTTCGACATTACAGCCCCTGAGCTGGATCTTGTTTACCGAAGTCTAATGGCGAAAAAACTGCACGACTATTTTTTTCGCATCAGTTGCAAGAAAAAAGACCTTTATTGTCGGGAAGGTGTAACTAGTTTTAAAAACACGGCGTGGTCAAAATTATGTTACTCGGCAGGTACAAGGACAACATGGCCGTCGTTTTGGGTAACATTTAGCCGCCATATGGACGTGTACCTTGCTCGGGTGACAAGGCCGCTTTTATATCTCGGAAAGCAGACTTTGCAGAGAGACAGTTAAATATCCACGTTGTAAATCAATTAAACGACCCATTAGATGTAAGTGGGACTGCAATGCAACCATTAGCTACACGGTTTGACTTACCTAGCACTAATAAAGCGTACATATATATATATAAAACGTCTGCGCTAGTGTTGTCTCTCCAAGTAGATGCATTGTGGATCTCTTACAGCATTACTTTTATGTTTAAAACCTTAAATAACGCGCAAACAAAACAGACTTAAAGTATTTTCTGTAGGAATAAATTCCAAACAGAGCCTTTACAACCTAACGCTTACCTAATCATAATAAGAAATATTCTTCAATCTGTACTTGTCTTATCTCTGCTTGTCACGATTAGAATTGCAAGGGGAGGGGGAGTGTGATTGATAGAATGTTTTTGGAACAGAATTATGGTACTGTTCCCAGCACTCTCATTACTATGGGGATTACCCATACGAATTACCTTGGTAAAGAGTATATGAGTACAATATCTGCACCTTTATCCAAACTTTTATCATTTCTTATTGAGACCAAGACATATATATCGAAAAGAAAGAAAACTACGAAATGTTTACAAAATGTTCCGTTTGTAGGTCGACCTGATCACCACTGTTTTGAATAAAAAAAAGGCGGGGAATATTTATAAGGCATGACAACTACATGTACTTATCATAAGTGATGATAAACACACTTAAGATATGTTATTCTTGTGTCTAAAAGGTACGTACCTCTTGATATGCTCCTGATTCCATCTAAAGTGGTGGAAAAGTCATAGGACGTTCTGTTGGTGTATTGTTCATACAACACATAAGTGATAGCAGAAGCGTTGTTTTTCGGCTGGTTGTCCAAACGTTGCTTAATGGCGGTCATACAGAAGCCCAGCCTCCGCGATTACGCAGAAGTGATGCTTAATGTTTAAATTATATACCGCTACTAAAGGGCCGCGGTTCGGCAACCAACTGCCGTAAACACACTCGACATTTGCATTCATGCATGCGCAGGTCGCAATCCATGCAGACGATCCTGCCGTATACATGATGTCGTGGGCGAGAATTCTTGCGTCACACTCCTAATGATGGCCCTTTGAAGCTACGGGTACTTCTATCTATGTCTTTACAATTCCCTATCAATAGAGCTTGATTGGCTCAAATTATTTTTAAAGATGCACACACAGAAAATGAACCAACGAGTAGGAAAGAATGCAACGTGGTGTCGACGTCTCTTCTTCTAAAACGATAAGTCAGAACATTGACAGAAACAAGAAAGTCAAGTGGAATTAATGAGGAAAATGTTAGACTGACGCTAAATCAAAAGGGAAGACTGGAAAGTTTTTTCAATGTTTCCTTGACAGAAGCAAGAAAGTCAAGTAGAATAATGATTTGGTGTATCTTAAATTATGACGATTTTGAAAGTTTGCTGTGTGATGATGACACTAATATGGCATATTGCCAGGTGAGCCCAACGGGCTTTATACTCCTGATCACCATAAAATTTCACACCACAGTCGCATTTCACGCATTTTAACTAGCACCTGAAAATGAGACTCATATCACCGTAAATCAACAGTAAACATGGAGAGAAATGCGCCCATCCGCCCACCCATGAGGAAAATGGGTCTCAACCACCACTCATCATCTATGTATAATGAGCGGGGGGGCATGAAGTGCTATGATAACAGTAGGAACTTCTAACATATTATAACTAGGCTATGTGCTGGCCTTGAAAGACAGGTACCCTTAAATTAGCATACCTCTAGCTCTCTCCTCCACTTCGTTTAAATAGAATCCGAACGATGGGGTGTGGGAGTAAGTTCTGTCCAGCACGACTCTGGCAGTCTGTTCTGCCGCCAGCTTCTGTCGGATGGCCTGCATGCGGTAGTAGCAGACATCGCCGCTGTCGCTGTCCTCGCCGGGGTAGACCAGGGCAACCCGCGTCGAGTTGAAGCCTAGTTCCACCAGCAGACTGCCGACCACGTCTGCTAGCTTGTTGTCCGTGTGTTCCATCCTGGTGACCGTCTTGTACTCCCCGAAGTCGCTGTGACGGAA